GGCGGGCCAGGGGCCTGCCTCTGGGTCTGTCTGTGGCCTGCAGCTGGGGACAGGACATGCTAGTGGGTAGACGCTGGGGCTGGGGTCTGCAGGTTAGGTAGGTTGGCAGTGATGTCCCTGCCTCAGAATTGCTGGCTGGCCAGAGGCCTGCTGCTGGGTCTCAACTTTTTTTATTTTTTGAGTTCATTAACTTTTTCCATGAGCAAGAGACACAGAGAGAAAAAGGGTATTTATGCTACAATCCATCCCCAGCTTTAGCTGGCCCCAGATCATAAGCATGTGCCTTCCCGGCATACTCAGGGAGTCTCTAGTTGTGAACCTGGAACCTCCCCATGTGTTTGGCCTCTCAGAGTGTTACATTACCATTGTGTCCCCAAGGAATAGACAGTCTTATCTCCACTGTAAAGATGTACAAAAGGATGCTGAGCAAGAGCGGTGTTAACCAAACTGTGATAACAGAGATTTGTAGCTGACCCATTCTACACAAGTCTGTAATTTCTTAGCTCTCTTTAGCAGCTTGGAAACAGAAAAGGGCAGGTGGCAAAAGTCGCCTAGAGTCAGAATGGTCATGAGGTGGAGGATCCTAGGGTAATACAGAGTGTTTCCATGATGGCCCACTATGGTGAATCTAGAACAACCATAAGGTCTAGGATAGTGGCTTTCCATTTCTTCCTTAGAGTCCATCATATTATCTGGATATGGGGAATGATGGAATGCCTTCTCTGATTTAGCCAAGGCAGATTTTATCTGCTTGTTATATATCAGGGTTCCGATTTAGCCAAGGCAGATTTTATCTGCTTATTATATATCAGGGTTCCATATAAATACTTGAGAAGAAAGGTTTCTTTTACTAAGACAAAAGGGTTTCAAAAATACTGGTTTAAAAGAATTGATGCTGAAGAGCTAGAACTCTAAACGGTAATAAAGAGCCAAATCATAGAAGGGAAGTAGAGAAGGAAAGAGCAGAGAGTATATGAGCCCTCCATATGCAGAGAAATGAGAGAAGTAGCAAAAGAACCTATTCAAAGCACCACTAGATTAATCCAGAATTCACTAAGGGTTCTATATGTTCTTTTTTTTTAATTATTTATTGAGCTTTATTTATTCATTCATTTTTAATTTGACCAGAGAGATACACACAGACAGAAAGTGAGAGAGAAGGTGAGAAAGTAAGCTGGGTCTAGGACTTGACCGGTGGCCGCCCTGGGGGGACCATCCAGTGCCTTAACCACCACGCCACCTGCTGGTCCCAAGGGTTCTATATGTTCTAAGGCCCTTGTATATTTCATTCCTGTGACTTAGGTATATCTAGGGAAGAGGGTGGTAATTCATGGACTTGGAATTGACCTTTGTGTTAGTTAGATGGCTGCCTCAAATGGTGGTATGACAGTTACTTATTAAATGATATAAAATGCTTCCTATTAGGGAAGAAGGCAGAAGAGCCTGAAAGCTTTTATAGTAAAAAATGTTTCCAGCAGTGGTTCTTGACTTTCATGGGTCATGAACCCCTTTGGTAACTTCATAAAAGCTATGGGACCTGCAGATGGTGTAATGATATGTTACTGAATTCCCACGTAATCACTGTGGTTTAAGTCCCGGACCCAGTGGCTCAGAATTCATGTCGGGCACATGTTCATGCATGTCCAAGATCCTGGGAGGAAAATGGAGAAGGGATTCTGACGTAGCCATCCCTCCAGAGTGATTTCTCGCTTTCTGTCTCTCTCTGTCTCTGGTGAGCACAGACAGCCTATAGCAAAAATCTCTCTAAAACAAACAAACAAACAAAAAAAACATGAAATCTCTCTTCAGGAGAAAAAGTGTATACATATAGATTTTTGTATGAAATTTCAGGATGTTCAAGTATCACGCCACCCCCCCCCCCAAAAAAGAAA